GTCTCACATCTTGGTCTGGCATTTGCACCCTCTGGAATGTGGTTCAGGCTCCCCTTTCTGCCCCCGTGGTGGGGGCGGGGGGCGGGTGGTGTGCGCATGCGCGCGGGTGTGGGCCGCTGGGCCCTCTGCCCCTGGGTGTGGAGGGGACGGGTAGCTGAGCCCAGGGAAGGAAAAAGGTGGTTACAGGTATGACCCGGGCTGTGAGCACTCCTGGGCTTCAACTTGTAGCAAAACTGCCATCTGTGTCCTCGGCTGTCTTCCTCACTGCAGACTTCAAGGTGAATCCCCAGAAAGGAAGAGGAAGCAAAAGCCAGGGCTGGAGTCTTGTGCAAACCTCGGGGCTCCTTGCCACAGTCTCACTTCTGCCAGCCCAGGGCCTTCACTGGACGCGGCAGCCTAAGGCCCGAGCTGAGGGCACGGGTGGGGGTGGGGCGCGGCAGCCAAGGGGGAAGTGTGGGGGTCTGTCTGCCTCAGCTTCCCCTTTCCTCTAGGGACAGATTTGCTGAGCCTGCCTCCAGGAGTCGGGGTGGCTGGGCCACCAGCACAGTGTCACCAACCCACAAACCACACAAGGGCCTGATGTACACGTACACTGTGTCTAGCCACTTCTTTTTACAGGCGAGGCTCTGGGAGGGGACTGGCCCAGTGTCATTCAGTGAGAGCACGAGGCAAGGACTAGAGTATAGGTTGTAGGCCCTGGAGCCTACCCTCAGTCACATGGCCTGTGGGATAAAGTCCTCATGGCCTAGTGCGCTGCTTGGTGCTATGACCAGCTGAGCTACACCTGATCCTCCCCAAGCCTTCCTGACTGCAGTGTGTGTGTGCACATGCACACACACACACACACACATGCCTGTCTCCGACCTCAGGGCCTTTGCACAGGCTGATTCCTCTGCCAGGCCTGAGTAAATAACCCCTCATCCTTTAGGGTTCAGCACAGGCACTGCCTCCAAGGAAGCATTCCTTAGCCTGAGGGCAGGGCGAGGGCCTGTTTTACAGCCTGAGGCCCTCAGGTTAATATTCCTGTAGACTTGGCTGGGCTGTGGCGCCCTCCCGCTGTTTGCTCAAACACTAATCTACATGTTGCTGTGAATGCTTCTGTGGATGTGATTAACATCTACAATCAGCTGACCCGAAGTAAAGCAGACTGCCCTCCTTAATGTTGGCAGCTCTTATCCAATCAGTGGAAGCCTCCAGAGAACAGCCGAGGTTTCCCAGAGAAGAAGGGATTCTGCCCGCGTTGCCAGCCTGCCAGCAGATTTCGGACTTGCCAGCCCCCACAATTGGGTGAGCCAATTCCTTAAAATAAATCTCTCTCTCTCTTTGTATATATATATCCTACTGGTGCTGCTTGTCTGGAAAACTTGGTACAATCACGCTGATTCATGACTGTATGTTTACGATCATCTCGCCAGCAGCCGGCCCACCCAGAGGACAGAGACTGTAGGGGAGCAGAGTGGGCCCGCCGGGGAGTGTCCTGGGAGAGAGGCACCAAGCTAGGGGAAGGGGGAGGGAAGAGCTGACAGCCACTGTGTAAGGTCCCCTCCTCCAGGAGGCCACGGTGACGCCTACACCCAAGGAAACAAGGGATGGAGTCCCTGTGGTGAGAGGCACAACCTTGGGCTCCCCGTATTTGTGTGACCTCACAAACTGTCCCGAGGGCAGACATCCTGGCTTCACAGGGTCCAAAGGCCTCATTTGATTAAGAGGACCAGCACCTGGGCCTGGAATCTTCTGAGATATTTTCTTTTTAAGTTTATTTATTTTTAGTATTATCTACTCCCAACGCGGGGGCTCGAACTCATGACCCTGAGATCAAGTGTCGCACGCTCTTCTGACTGAGCCAGCCAGGCGCCGCTGGGCATCCTAGCGTTCCAAAAGCTCCCCAGCTGATCCTGATTCTCCCAGTTCATTAGTAAGATCTGACGAGCACCCTCGCAGTGACCTGGCCTCGAGGGTGAATTAGGAGTATCCTACTTTATTAATAGGTGGAATTTAAGAAACAAAACAAAGGAAAAACAAAGCAAAGGGAAAAAAAAGAGAGACACAAACCAAGAAAGAGGTAACTCTAGTGAAAACACTGCTGGTGACCCGAGGGGAGGAGAGGGGCGTGGCGGAAACAGGTGCTGGGGATTCAGAAGCGCACAGGCGATACGCACAGGGTGACGTATGGAAATGCTGAGTCACTATCGTGCACACCTGAAACTAACGTAACCCCATGTTAGGTAACTGGGATTAAAAAGGAGGACCTACCTTCTTGAAGCCACCCTGCGTGGGCTCCTTCCTCTCCCTCCCCTAAGGGCAGCTGCCCCACTCCCAGTGTGGGGTCACCCCACACAGGCGGTACCCATGGGAGCTGGACCCAGATCCTGGCCTGCTCCTCTCCATGCCCCAAATGGACTTGGGCCAGATGGGCTCCTCTCTGGAAACCTGGCTATGCATCAGGCCTCAAGCCCTCAACCACAGGGATATCCGGGGAATGCACGCAGGCACGCTGTGAGACGGAGTCAGGCCAGGTCAAGAGTGGGCAGAGCTGAGTGAGCCTGAGGCATGGGGAGTGGGAGAGGAGGGCTGGGGGCTATGCCTGCTGTCTCTGAGGAGCAGAGCCCTAGCCAGAGGTGGACTAAGGCACCTTCGGGAGAGCCTGGGGAGCCCCGTTCCCTGGATGGGCCCAACCCTGGCTTTTAGCTTGACCCCTTGCTGACCATCAACCCCCCTTGTCCTGAGATGGGTCGGGAGGGTCTCTGATCCTTATAGAAATGAGCCTGACTAAAAACGACCCAGGCATCTGAGGCAGAAATTAGGGGAGCAAATGTCATGCTGCCTGCAGAGATGCCAGTGTGAGAGTGATGCGGTGTCTCTGATCTGAAGTCACCAGGCCCCCTGAAGCCGTGGGCCCCCGGCCCTCCCATCTGATGCCCCACAGGTTCCCTGGGCAGATGCGTCTGTTTCTTCACCACAAAGGAAGAAAGCTCGGTTCTGCCACAGCGGGACAGTGGCCCTGCTGAAGGCCCTCGGCGTGCACACTGTCCCTGTGTACCCTCAAGGCTGGCCTTGGAATCTTCATCGGCAGGGCTGGAAGGAACTCTGTGGACCCTCCTGTCCACCGGCATCATTTGGAGATGTGGGAAGCCAGGCCCCGAGCCCTCCCCCCACCTCAAAGAGGAACCTGAGAGCTCTTGATTCTGTCTACATTTCTGTCCAACCATGTCAACAAACATGGTGGTCACTCCACACTCAGGCTCCCCCTGGGGTGTCTGTTTCCATGGTCTGAGGGCCTCGAGGGTGGGCATGGTGGGCTCGGGCAGCAGTGGAGTCAACCAACCTGCAGGAAGGGTCCTGAGCTCTCGAGAGTTGGCCCTCACAGCTGGCCCTTGGCCTCCAATGCTAGAACAGTCCTAGCTCCCCACCCTGCTCAGGGTGTCAAGTGCGCCCTGTTCCCGCGGTCAAGTGCAAACACCTCCACCAAGGACTTAGAGGAACTTGCGTGATTGGTTTCTGCTCATGTGACAGCTTCGGGGCGTGCTGCTCCTCCCCTGACTTATGACCCCAGAAACATGGGCTTTTTTCATCTTTAACAGACCTGCCCGCACACAGCCTTTTCATACGCTGTTCCCCCTGAATGGAATGTTCTTCCTCATCTTTTGCCTTTCTTTCTTTCTTTCTTTTTTTTTTTTTTTAAAGATTTTATTTATTTATTTTACAGAGAGAGATCACAAGTAGACGGAGAGGCAGGCAGAGAGAGAGAGAGGGAAGCAGGCTTCCCGCCGATCAGAGAGCCCGACGCGGGACTCGATCCCAGGACCCTGAGATCACGACCTGAGCCGAAGGCAGCGGCTCAACCCACTGAGCCACCCAGGCGCCCCATCTTTTGCCTTTCTAGGGGGCTGCCCTTCCTCAGGAAGCTGTCCCTGACTCTCCTCATGACCCCCAGTCAGGCCTGACTCCCCCAAGTTCTAAGAAGCTAGGCATGTAATACTTTCCCTTCCTGGACCTTATTAAAAATCATAATGCTGTATCTCTTTATGTAACTCTTGGCTTGCTGTCTGGCCCTGCGGTTAGCTCACCCTGACAAGACCAGAGCAAAAAGCATGTCTGTGTGCTCCCCACCCCCCACCCCCTGGTGTGTTCCCAGCAGAGTGCGCACCCAGAACGAAGGCTGTCCTTTTGCAAAGACCCATATTCAAGTGGAAAGAAAAAAAAAGAAGCCCTTTGCTGAGCCCCAGGTGGAACCAGCCTCCTCCCCTGAGCCTAGACTTCTGCTCCTTGAACTCCAGGACCAGCGCCAGTTCCCAGGAGAAGGGACAGCAGGCCTCGTGTTTCCAGAAAACTCCATGTCTTTCCTCCAGTTCCAGAAGCAAAAAGCACATCTGCTCTCCAGACAACTACCCCGTGCTGGACCCAAAGATCACCAGCTTCATGTCACAGGGAAAAACAAACAAAACTTGGGCTTACAAGTTCATGGGACAAAGATAAGAATCACAGATGATGGAATGACAGGGCATTTTATTGGGCTTGAACTCTGTCAGGCCCTGTGATGAGCGCACACAATCTCTTGGCTTCCGGGAAGCCCTGTGGGGTCGGGAGGACCATTTCTGTTGTGCGATTGTGGAAACGGAGGCTTGGAGAGAGGCAGCCCCTGTCGGGGGGGGCGGGGAAGGGGGACTGTGTGCAGCTGACTCCAGCTGGGTCTCCCTAGGACCCGGGCCAGCTCTGGGCGGGGATGAGGTGTCCAGTTGCATCTTCTACTCCTGCTGACCTCAGTTTCCCCGCCAGGGCCGGAGTCAGCCGTGGGAGCCCCCCATGGCTTCCCTTCTTCCTCACCAAGCCCCGCCCTCGCGGGGACCTCAGCCTTCTCCATCCTGTCTTCCTCTCCCTCCATTCCTCCCCTCCTTCTGTTTCCGTGGCAACCCCATCCTCTGCTCTGCCGCTTGGTCCTGCGCTCCATCTCCTCTTTCCTCTTTCATCTCTCCCCTCCGCGCGGGGTATGGTCCACATACCCCTCTGTCCTTTGCTTCTGGTCTCTCATTCCCTTTTGCTGTGCTTTTTATCTCCTCCAATGTTCTCTTGTCATCTCAGGGCGACATTTATTTATCTCTTGCTTAAGAAAAAAGAAAAAGGAGGGAAGGAGGGAAAAGAAACCCCCGTTTCACCAGCCCGGCTTCTCCAGAACCTAGAGATACAGATGCAGAGTCACCCCAGAATGGGCCTATTGCCCGCCACCCTGCAGGCTCCCCACGGACCTCACCTGCAGAGGGGAGGAGGCAGATGCATGGCGGGGAGGATATCTGGGAGGTGTCTGGGTGAGGGCTCACCGGGGGCAGGCACTCCAGGGGCCTGCACCCTGCTCTCCTGAGCTGGGGGAGACGCCGGAGTTCCCCTCAGGCTGCAGCAAGGGCAGGAACTAGAGTGTGGGATGAGCCAGGTCCGGAATCCCTCCTCCGGGGAGCCCACAAAAGCCCACACGAACACGGCCCTGCGCCGCCCGCCCCAGCCCCACATGCGAGATGCCCAATCTACCAGGCGACGTACACTTCCACTCCAGACGGGATGGCGGATCCACTTCTTCCTCAAGATTCACTCTTCACCAAAATCCTAACCTGTCTCTGAGAAGAGGACACGTCCCCTCTGCTAACCAACTCTGCATCTCCCCAGTCTAAGGCAGATAGAAGGTGGTCGGCCCATTTCCCTCCAGTCATCATCTACCGAGCTTCTGTGATGGACCAGGCACGTGATGCGGGCCACCCCATGGAGAAGGGCATCTTAATTTTCATTTCACAGATGGGCAGACTGAGGCTTGGAAAAGCGGTCACTTGTCCAAATCACACTGTCAGTAAGAGGTGAAGGTGGGCTTTGCACTGGTTACAATCATGTTCTTCCCCAGTTAGGTCCCTTCTGCCTGTGTCCCCAGGAGGGGAGAGTCAGGCCCCCCCCGGCCCAGCCAACCGCACCCCCCCCATCCTGCCTTCTGCATTTCTGTGTTCAATCTGGAGTGATCAGAAATGACAGGAGAAACAAAGAGATTTACCACGGAAATGACAAGGAAGCCGATTATCGCCGTGGCCCCAGCGTCTCAAAGTGACAGAGAGGATAGATAGCTCAGTGGAAAATGGTATTACTCTCCTCTGAGACCAAAGTCACCTGGAGAAGAAAGAGCGTTGGATCATCGGGCGCCCCACAGGCCTGTGAGCCTCTGTGGACACTGTGACCCGTTGCTGGGCCAGGGTCTCGGGCCTGGTATTGGTTCCCTAAGTCCCGGGACTCAAAGGCTCTGCTAGAGGGGCTTCTGGCCCGCCCCGTCGGGTGCAGCTGGCAAGGCCTGGCCACAGGAGACAACAGGTCCCGGGCTCAGGCCTGCTGAGCCCACAGAGGCACGAATGACACAACAGCTCTACTTCTCCCCCAAGAGGCCGGCTTAGCACCTCAGGAACCCCGGGAGCAAGGCCGAGGAGGAAGAGACAGGAAGCAGCAAACAGGGATGGGCGAGTAGGGAGGGACAGCCCCTGGCTCTGCAGATGAACCGAGTGAAGGGGGGAACCTGGCCCTCAGGCTGGCAGGCTCGGCCTGTCCCCCTGTCTCTGCCACTTATGAGCTGTGTGACTTTGAGCAATTTCCTCAACCTCCCTGGCACTTGGTTTTCCCATCCGTAAAATGGGAGGAGGGATATGGCAAGGCCCTGCCTTAAAGCTCCTCCTTCAGGTCGGGCTTGTAGCTGATGAGATGGTGTCTGGGAGGTGTGGGAGCCTCACAACAGGACCCACTTCACAGCGGAGTCCAGTGACCTGCCCTGAAGCCACCAGATCACCAGAAAAAGGTGGAGTTTGGGTTTCCTTCTTGGCCAGTGCTTTTAAGTGCAAGGAGATCAGGGAGACAGAGTCTGGTAACAATGCTGGAGCATAGTAAGGACTAGGTTTCTAGGAGCTCCCGTTTGTCTTCTTCCCATCACCATCCACTCTGCTGGGCCAGGCTGGTGCAGGCCGTTGGCGGGACCCCAAGATCCCCACTCTCAGGGACCTCACAGTTTGGTTAGAAGGACAAGACTAAGAACCACGGAACAGAAGAGCAGACTAGAAATGAGCCCGCAATGTGTGGGGGTGCCACAAAAGGACAAAGTAACGTTGCCCCCACATTTCAGCCTGGGGGGGTCAGGAACCTTCTTCCTTGTCGTGTGGCACTTCAGGAGGCCACGGAGGCTCGGGCTGCAGAGTCGGCCGTTGGTGTGAGCCTGTCTCTTTTGCAACAGGGGACCGAGGTTCTCCCTTTTCAGGAGGTTTCCCTGAGCCAACTAAACCCAGTGAGTATGATCCCTGCTGCTCTGTATATGGACATCGGGCGGAGGGGCAGGGAAGCCTCGAGATGGGGGAGGCTGGCTAGGAAGCCCCCATCCCGAGAGATGCAGAAGGACGGAAGAGGGTGTGCCCGGCTGGAGGCAGAGGGTGTACAAGGGACAGTAAGGAGAACAGAAGAGCAGCGGGCAGAGAAAGTGCTGGGGGATGAGGGTGGAGGAGGGAGGCCTGGGCCCAGAGCCCTCCCCTTCTTCTCCACCACCACTGCCGGTGTGAGTCAGCCCCCGGCAAGGCTGTCTCCCGATGCCCAGGCCGTAATCAACATTTATTTTGCACACCCACACACCCAACTTGAGAACAGATTTATGCCAGGAGAGGAGTAGAAAATGCCTCTCATTCACGGAAAGCCTCCATGTAGCTCCTGGGGGGCGGGGAGGGACAGCTGGCCCAACATTTCGGCTGACAGCGTACACAGGCAGACGTCAGACACGCACGCCGGCCACACGGGCCGGAATCAGCGGCGAGCGGGAGCCACGTGCAAATCCATCCATTCTTAGTCACCTTCATGCAGCGAGGGAGGGGACCCACGCAAGGGGCGGGAGCCGGCGTGCACACGCACACTCGCGGACCCCGCAGGCTGGCCGGGGAGGAATGCACGTGGGGGCGGAGGGAAGCCACATGCGACTGTGCCAGAAGAGGCGAGAGGCCGGCAGGGTGGGTGGGCTGGGCATCCCAGCGGGGGTGGGGGCTGCTGAGTCTGCCCAGTCCTGGGAACAAACTCGGTGGGCCATGGCAGGCCTCATCTGCAGGCTGGAGGAGAGGTGAGGGGAGTCCGGGAAGGTAGGGGGTCCTGGGAGGGAGAGCCAGGAGGGGCCCTGAGAGCAGGTCCCCAGCAGGGAGGCGGATCCTCAGACCCAGAGGAGAAGTGTTGCGCAAGTGGCCCACTCAGCCCAGAGTGCTATCTGGTTCCCTCTTCAGTCTAGATCACAAAGGATGATGACAATCAGGGGCTCCAGAGGCCTCAGCTGCAGAGCCATGAGCTCTGGGTCGTGGATCCCCAGGCGCGAAACTTCAAATGCATGTGGTCCCGGAACCCAAGGGCCAAAATGCCTTTAGTGGAGGTGACAATCATAAAACAAACAGCTATCTGGCCTTCAGCAGGGGTGACTGTGGTCCAGCTTGAAGGCTTCCTCCCCACCATCCTGCGGGATGTGGAGTCAGCTGGGCCACTGCCTGGCTGAATGGCCTTAGGTGATTCGCTTGACCTCGCAGAGCCTCAGTTTGCTCAACTGTAAAATGGGGATGAGCTGCCTGCCCTACAGAAGGGGTAGAGAAGACTATACAGGATCACGGGGTGAAAGTACCCGGCATGCGGGCTGGCGTTTGGTAAATGGCAGGTTTTTTTGGTTTCACCACTACAATATTTGTGCACACACGATGTGTGTCACCTAAGACCCTAGAATACCTGGCATGTCTTTAATACTACTAAAAATACGCTCTCACCACTCCCTTGAATGAGCACGACCACGTGGGAAAAGCATCTCCTATTGTGAAGGAGAGAAAGTAGCCAAATCAGGGACATGGAGAGAGAGGCTGGAAATGAACCTGACCTCATGCAAGGTTCCAGTTTAGTTCTCAGCTCACAAAGGAGCCCCTGGCTTGTCTGGGGACCGGCATTCCCGACCCCAGGGCTTATGGGCCGTGAGGGTCCCTTGGGCCCAGGGCCCAGAGCGGAGCCCTTGGAGAGTCAGGAAGGCCTCTCCCCACCAGACGTGGAAGCCCTCTTCACAGGTGCCAGACATCGTCTCTTTTCAGAAACATTACAACCTGGGGCGCCTGGGTGGCTCAGTGAGTTAAAGTTCTGCCTTCGGCTCAGGTCATGGTCCCAGGGTCCTGGGATCGAGCCCTGCTTCGGGCTCTCTGCTCAGCAGGGAGCCTGCTTCCCTCTCTCTCTCTGCCTGCCTCTCTGCCTACTTGTGATCTCTATCTGTCAAATAAATAAATAAAAATCTTAAAAAAAAAAATTACAACCCATCAAGGCAGCCCCAAAGACCAAATTCCTAAACAAATCACAAAGCCCAACTCTCCTCCCGCAAATAGTTGATTTCTGGGATCCCTGGGCACCTGCTCAGTCTCTCAGAGCTGGGATGGCCCACCGTCAGCAAACAATCCCGACGGTCACAAGGTGAAGGGAAGACGGTGAGAATGACACTCCCCCGCCCCCGAACCCGGATTCCCTGAAAGGAAAATGCCCACGAAGCTTCTTACGAGAAAACCACACTCAGGGACACACACACAGGTCAGGGGACAAGGGTCACTCTCTTCCCTGCACTGCAGCACGGGCCTGCCTCTGGGAGGCTGGGCGGAGCCCCTCCTCCAAACACCCCCAAGCTGGGTGCCAAGTGCAGGATGAACACAGGCTCTTCCGGGACTCGAGAGCCAGGCCGCGCCGGGGAGGGAATACGCCCGCTGGGGCATGCACAGCCCTCCAGGGCACCCTGCCTCGGGAACATCTCTGCTGGGGGCCAATATGGCCTCCCTCCGGGCAGCCCGGGGTGTGGGCAGGGCCTATTCCCGCTCTACACACCAGGGATGAGGGTTCCGGCTGTCCTGGAGCTACAGTGCAGGCCCGTGCCAGCTCGAAGGGCGCCACCTGACCTAGTACTGACCACTGTCTGTGTGGTTGGTACCGGTACCATCACCCCCTGTCCTACACATAAGGAAACTGAGGCACGGAAAGATTCAGAACAGCAGGGCTTGATCTCACCACCCCGAGATCATGACCTGAGCCGAAATGAAGACTGG